TCAACCACGCCCGTGCCATCTCCCCTAGTGGGATTCACAACAGACCCATAGGCTGGAGAGAGATCATTCTGGCTTTACGTGCAGAAGAATTACAGGGACACCCTACTTTCTTTATCCGCTTTCCCCCCAAAGCCGTATCTTGCAGGAGACCAGGACCTTGACATTGATATAGTCGGGATAGGCCACATTCCCCCCGACACGGACCCCTCTGGAGCCACGGCCACTTCCTTCCCACCTTCATCCCTCCTGAGCCCTCGAAACGCTGTTTTGCGTTCTACAGTGGTGCCTCAGCACGGGTACGACATGAATGGAACCATACAGTATGTCACCTTTAGGAAATGTCTGCTCTGGAGATTCGTCAGGGCTGTTTAGGTCTCAAGAGCTGGTTCACCCGGATGGATGAGCTGGGCTCCACAGGGTGCAAGGACCCCGGCCTCTATGACCATTCCCCTGTAGAAGGACAGCTAGGTTGTTTCCAGCTTTGGGCCCCTAAAAATAGAGGCACCATAAACACCCGTGGGCGTCAGTCTATGTCCTCAGGATAAAACTCGAGGCTCTTCGTCAAGTCACATGTAGCAGCACGTGTAGGTTATTTTTTTTTTTTTTTTTTGGAAAGTGCCAGACGGTTTCCCGTGGACAGGCTGTACCTGTCACACTCCCACCAGCAGGGGAGGAAAGTTCCAATTTCTCCACATCATCACCAGCACTTGGTGTTGACGCTATATTTTTATTTCACCGATTACGTTGGGTCTGTAGTGATGGCTCACGGTGGCTTTACTCGGCCTTTCCCCAGCAGTAACGACCCTGGGCGTGCTTCACAGGCTTCTCTGCTACCGTCCATCCTCTTCGGTGAGAGGACTCTTCCTGGCCTTCACAGGCCTCCTGATCGGGTTGTTTCTGTCTTTACTGCCGAGTACTTATAAGGCGCAATTTGCTCCCGGTCTGTGGTCTGCCGTTTAACCTCTTCCTACAGAAATCTCCTTCAGTTCTGATGAAGTCCTACTTCATCAATTTTCCCTTTTATGGATCGTGCTTTGGGTGCTCATCTAACAACGCTTGTGTAGCCTGGATCCCAAAGATTTTCTGCTATTGCATTTTCCTAAAATGTTTGCAGTTTTATGTTTCAGTTTATGATCCATGTGAAATTAATTTTAGTATAAGATACAAGACTTTGCTGCTTTTTTTTTTTCTTTTTGACCGTGGGTGCCCAATGGCTCCAGCAGCACCATTTGTTGAAAGGACGGTTTCTCCTACATCGATTGCTCTGCACGTTTTCCGAAAGTTGGGCAAATTTGTGGGTTTTGGGCTTTCCATTCTGTTCCAGGGGTCTTGTGTCTGTACCTCACCCTACACTACATGGTCCTGATACTCAGGGTTACCTAGAAAGTCCGCACAGTAATCAGTCCCTGCCTCCACTTTATTCACGTTATTTTAGCTAGTCCACATCCTTTGCACGTCCACATAAATTTTAAAATTATCTTGTCTATAACCAAAAAAATCTTGCTGGGATTTTGATAGGAATTGTGTTAAAACAGTGTATCAGTTTGAGAAGAACTGACATCTTCACCAGGGTGAGTCTTCCAAACCACGAACATGGAATGCCACTCCATTTATTTAGATCTTTGATTTTTTCCATCTATCCTATGGAGTTTCCAGTGGAGGAGTCTTGCATGTTTTCTTATGTTCACACCTTATTATTTTCCTTTTTTTGGTCTATTATGAACAGCGCTGTGTATCTCATCAGGTCTGTGCATGTTCACTGGTTATAGAAATATAATTGATTTTTGTGTGTATCTCTTATGTCCTACAATCAGCTGACTTTATTTGTTCTAGAAGGGTTTTTCGTTTTTTTTTTGTTTTTGTTTTTGTTTTTTTGTAGATTCCTTGGACTTCTTCACATAGATAAATTGTGAATCTGTAAAAAGCAACAATTTTGTTTTTTCCCTTTCACTCTCTGGTCTTGTGCCTCCTTTTCTTGCATGATGATCCTGCAGAACTTCCAGGTTTAGGTGCGAGCTGCAGGGTTTTTGTAGATTTTTACTAGTGTTTTGCTGGAATATTTTAGTCGTGAATAGACATGAATTTCATTAAAAAAGTTTTTTTGACATCAATCGATATAAAATCATATGGCGTTTTTCTTCTTTTCCACTATGTGTGATGGCCGACACTGATGGATTTTGAAATATTGAAAAAGCTTTGCATCTCTAGAATAAATCCCCCTTGGTGAAGATGTTTAATTCTTTTATATACACTATTGTTCTATGTCCTTGGCTTCGCCTAAGGAGTTTTGCGTCCGTTCACAAGGGATAACAGCCTATCGTCCCCTTTTTGTTGTCTTTGTCTGGTTTTGGTACCAGAGTTCACACTGGTTTCGTGGGATGAACCAGGATCTGTTCTCTCTCCTTCTGGTTTCTGGGAGGAGTTCTGTAGAATTAGTGTTGATTCTTTACACGTCTGGCTGAATTCTCCAGTAAAACCGTCAGGGCCTGGAGATTTCTTCGGGAAGAAAATGTGCACTGCTGCCCTCTTCCTGTCTGCAGGATGTGCCGTGATGGGCCCCTTTCATCTCTGGTATTAACAATTTGTGTCTTCCCTTTTTTTTTTTTTTTTTTGTCCGTCTTTTGAGAGACTGACCAATTCTCTTGATCATCTCCAAGAACTGCTCTTTTTCCGTTTATTTTTCTCTATTGTTTTTGTTCAGACTTTTGTGATTCCTGCTTTACATTTTTAGTATTTTCTTCCTTCTAACCACCTTGAGGTCATTCTGTTCTTCTTTTTCTAGATTCTGGAGGCAGGCATGCAAACTCTTCCTTTCAGGCTTCTCTCCTTTCCTGACGTGTTTCCTGCCACAGGTGCCCCTCTCGGCACCGTCTCAGCACTGTCCCACCAGGCGTGAAATGTCTTGCTTTCATTTTATCCAGTTCGATACACTTCTTGAGATTTTTCTCTTGGACCCATGGATTATTTGCAAGTGTGTGGCTTCATTTCCAGGCCTTTTGGACCCCTGGATTCCCTGCATGGCATCCACACTCTCTGCTCTACAGAAGCCCGCTGCACAGCCCAGGATATGGCCCACCCGGGTTTGTGGTCCTGGGGCTCACGGCCCATCCACTTCTCTCCTCCACCTTCTGGCATCTATTTCACATGTGCTGCCAGGGGTGTGGTTGCGCTTTGCAGGAGAAACAGAGAAGACTATGCCTTTCCCTTGCCAGGAGGCCAATGCCACTCTCCTGACGGGGCTCTAAAGCAAATGCTCTCATTTATGCACACAACGGCACCTGGCTTTAATGACACGGAGCCAGGCACTACGTTCGATGCCCAGCACATCCCACCCCAGCCCTGCGCGCTGGTCAGATGAGGCATTACCACGTCTGCAGATGAGAAAACTGGTTCAGAGGGTTACCACCTATGAAAGGAGCGGCTTTTCCATGACTGGACTTCAATCTGGGCCCTCTGAGACCTTCTGTGTCACTGGGTGACTTGCAGTTCCGCCGAGAAGAGTGAAAACTGAGCCCTAATCTGACAATGCAGAACAAAACGCCCCTCGCTGGGGGTGAGGCTGACTGGCATGCAGTCCCGGCTTTGCCCCCCACCCACTGTGTGGCCCAGACAATGTGCTTACGTCTCTGTGTCCGTCCCCCCAGCTGTCAGTGGGTCAGCAGGGATAGTGACCCTCGTGATGTGACCACAAGACGAGAGAAATCACACTGTGAAGAACACGGGGCAAACATCACCTGCACGTGAGCTACTGCAGTCACCTGCCTGCGGTGTGCACAGCATGTGGGACCGCCACAGGGAAGCAGGGCCCCCACGTCCCGAGCACCTCATGGACCCACAGCATCGGGGGCGGCCAGATTAAATATTCAGAAGGCACTCACAGGTGTTCTTAGGATGAAAGAGGTGCCCCCTTCATGTGCTGGCTTTTCATGCCTGAAGTCAGAGCCCTACATCCCCTGCGTGGGAGTCTACACACCGAAGGCACTGAGAACGCCCCGACGCTGAATGCACATTGGGTGTGCAGGGCCCGCGTGGCACAGACTCAGGAGCCACACCTGCCCCCCGCCTGACACCCGGGCCGGCACCCACACCGAGCACGCCAGCCTCACTCTGCTTCCCACGCCTTTCTCAAGTTCCAGAAGGTCCACTTTCTGTGATGCTTCCATAAACGCATGCACCTGCCCCCCTTCTCTGTGTTTCAGTCCCACCTGCTAAGAAAGGCGAGCGAGCTCTGCCTGTAAACAGAAGCAGGTACGGTCCTGAAGCCGTGGGGGGACCTGGGAGAGGGACAGCCCTTCCTGTAAATGACACACCCATCTGGTGTCCTCTGGGCAAACGAGGGCCGCGGCACCAGCCGTCCTCACAAGCACATCCCCGGGGGAGGCGGCAGGAGTCCAGGGCACCCAGGAAGCCTGATGACCACTCAGGGAACCCTCGTCTGCCTCCCCCGGGGCAGCAGGAGGAAGAATCTACCGGCACAGAGAAGGGCCTGAGAACGCACGCAGGCCTCCAGCGAGCAGCATCCCCGCTCCCGGTGCCCGAGGCCTGGAGCGGCTGGACCTTCACGGCAAGCGGGGGACGTCGGCAGGAAGGGGTGCGGAGTGGACGCCCTTTGCTCCCCTGGGCCCACGTGCCCTTGGGCCCCATGCCGAGGGCGGGACCTGAGCAAGGGCCACAGCAGAGCTGTCCCAGTGGTCGTCACCCCGCAGGCAGGTCCAGGAGAGCGGGGTCTGGGGCCGCCCCACAGCCCCAGGCAGGGAGCCCGCTGACCCCGCAAGTCCTCTGCTAAGGGCTGGGCGGGCTTTCCAGATTCTGCTTCCAGCTCCAGGCAGCAGCAGGAGTTGAAAAGCACAGACACTGCCCCCGAGCGCCCAGGACCCGGTCGCCCCCGGAGCGCCGCGGCCCCCGCCGAGAGCCGCCCTCCCTCCTGAGGGGTCCGAGACGGGACTCCCGCGGAAACACGTCCCTGGGAGACGCACAAGCCGAGCAGAGGAGATGCTTACCGTGGGCCCCCCTGTACAGGCTGCTGGCGCTGCCCAGCTGCGGCCCCGGCGGGGTGAACGGCAGGTAATGCGGGGGCGTCGTCACTGGAAGAGAAAGCAGACGCCAGCTCTGCCGCCTCGACCTCCCCGACGCCGAGCCGCCATCCGCCGCGGGCTGGCTCCTCGCTTACCGTACGGGGTTTCTGGAGACACGGGAAAGGCCGGCGTGGGAGAGGCGGAGGAGTCGCTGCCACTCTTGGCCGGAGAGAAGGTCCTGCCGCTGATCCCGTCGGGGTCTGGGGGGTACGCGGGGGCCACCGTCTGGAATTGGCACAGGGAGTCGAGTGAAGGCCCAGGCTGGCCCACGGCGGGGGGACAGGAGGCCGGGCCCTGTGCACAGCCCTGCCGCCGGAGGCCACGGAGAGCTCCTCAGGGACACGGAGGAAGGTGTCCCTACGGCGCGTCCACCTGCTACGGCGCAGAGCCGGGGCACTGGGCAGCGGCGACGACAGGTCACACCACCCGCCCCCGTGGCGAGCTCACAGGCAGCGGGAGCAGAGCGGCGACCAGAGAACTGGTCCAAATCCCCGTCTCTGAGCTCTTCTAGGCTCCGACCCCCCTGTCCCGTGACAACAAAGACCCCACGGGTCAGGAAGGGCTCGTCGCCCCGGGCTCCGACCCGTCTGCTGCACCCTGGTCACACGCGGGTGCTCTGTGGGCCCCACGTCCACGCCGACCCACCTTCTTCCTGCTTCCCTCCCAGGCCCACGGCTCCGGGCAAGCACCCTGGAGCCACCCTGGGCCCCCGCCACCCGCACCGTGCTCAGGCCACAGGGGCTGAGCACCTGGGCTTGCCCGCCCGCACCCCCGCCTTCCGGAGAGGAGCCCCGTCTACGGGGCGCAGTGGGGTGGCGATGGGACCACGACCGGGGTGGCACGTACCTCCTTGGTGTCCGCTGCAGAGAGGAAGGGAGCCAGGCTGGTAGCCTGTTCTGCACCGGGGGCCTTTCCCCATCCGCACTTGGGGAAGGCCGGCTGCCCCCCAGCACTGTTGTCGTACTGCCCAAGGCTCAGCTTCCGGAATCTTCCGCCCAACGGCTCGTCACCCAAGGAGCCTGACAGGAGAGACACTCGGGCTGCAGGGGCCTTCACCGCAGCAGAGGACACACCCCTCCGTTGAAACCAGACAACTTCTCACAGTCCCTCCTATTTTTTCTGGTTCCAGAACATTTTCAATGACCAAAAGGGAGCCCCCGTGCCCGGTCCCCTCCCCTGGGCCCTGGAGACCCCCCGCCCCCGTCTTGTCTGTCTCTGGGGACCTGCCGGTTCTGGACGCTTCCTACAAACAGACGCATCCAGCAGGTGTCCTTCGCTCTCCGGCTTCCGTCACCGAGCATGATGTCCCAGCCTGTCACCCTCTGAACCCACTTTGGCTCACTCCTCGCCTCCCCCAGCGTCGGGTGCAGGAGGCATCTCGTGCATCTGGTTCCCAGGCACAGGGAGCCCCGAGGCCGGGCCGGCGCCCGCCCTCCCCTCGCTGGCTGCCCCAGGACTCTCGATGGCCGGCAAGCTGGACCGGGGCCTGGGAGACCAGCCACGCTCGGTCACTTGGCCGTCGAGGGGACACGGAGAGACGCAGCCCCGCCGTGATCGGGCCACGCGGACGTTACAGCAGCGGGACTGTGGGAGGCCGCAGCCCCCGGATGGCCAGGCCCCGGTCCACGCTGGACGCAGCTGCCACCAGCCTGCCCCAGAAGGTGTGCTGAGGCCCGGCTCAGGGAGATTCCGGGGTGCCGAGGACAGTCCTCATCTGGGGAACCTGGACGCCCCCGTTGAGCCCCTACAGAAGTGGCGGATCCAGCCTAAGGCACTGGGGTGCCCATAAAGGGCTTCCACAGGGCTGAATCCACCTGCCCCGGGAGACCAGCACTGTGGTCACCAACCTGCCACTGAGGCAGCAGAGGTACAAGAGGTCACTTGCTCCGATTACTCGCTTAAAAAACTGGATTTAAAAAAACGGGGACGCCCAGGTGGCTCAGCAACTGAGCATCTGCCCTTTTAATCAGGTCCCGGGATCGAGTCCTGTGTCGGGGTCCCCACGGGGAGCCTGCTTCTCCCTCTGCCTGTGTCTCTGCCTCTCTCTGTGTCTTGCCTAAATAAATAAATAACAAATAAAATCTTAAATAAATAAATAAATAAATAAATAAAATCTTATTTATAAATAAGAATAAGTCAATAAAATCTTAAATAAATAAAATAAAAAAATCTTATTTATAAATAAGAAATCAATAAAATCTTTAAATAAAATCTTACTTATAAATAAGTCAATAAAATCTTAAATAATAAATAAGTAAATAAAATCTTACTTATAAATAAGAATAAGTCAATAAAACCTTAAATAAATAAAATAAAATCTTATTTATAGATAAGAATAAATCAATAAAATCTTAAATAAATAATAAATAAATAAATAAATAAAATCTTATTTATAAATAGGAATAAATAAAATCATAAATAAATAAATACCTTAAAATACAACCACAACAAAACCCAGAAGCCCCCTGGCAACTCTGCACCCCGCTGTAAATGCACTGAGCGCTGGTTACTTGGAGCCCACTTGCATCTTCCTAGGGCGACTCCGGTTTCTCGAGGGGACTGTCCGGCCTCGTCCGTAGATAAAGAGCCGGGGAACCCGCGAGCTGGGTCACACCCCTCCTCTGCCCTGCGTCACCACCCTGGTCCCTGGCACGGAGGCGGTGTCCACGCCCAGTGAAGATCCCAGGTGACTGCTCCGGGCAGCCAAGGGGGCCAACGCCTGTCCGGAAGGCCAAGGGGAAACCCACGGCCTCCTGGAGCGTGACCTGTGCCTGCCAAGTGCCCCGAAGCTCTGACCGGAGGGGACGCGGCGCCAGCTGGGCCCGCACAGCCGGTCCTGGAAGCTGCCTTGGGTTCTCGGAGCGGGAACAACAACGGCCCGAGGCGGCCCAGCTGGGTGAGGCCTCGCGATTTCCGCTCAATTGAAACACGCGCGTCTTCTAAAGAGGGTGGCAGAGGCCACAGGGCAGCGTGACGGCGGGAAGCCCACCCCACCGGCTTCAGGTCCCCGGAGCGGCTCTGGAGCTGCGGGCCTCCCCGGGGGCGCAGGGACCGTCCGCCACCCACGCCTGGAGCAGCGGAGGCCTCTCCCCCGCTGTCTGCCCACGCGCCGGCCTGCGTCACAGCCCCCGGGAACGGCCCCGGGAACGGCCCACCGCGGCACCGGAGCGAGCCAGGCAAGCCAGTCTTCCGCGTTGCAAAACCGAAAATCCTATCCCCTGGGAAACACCGCAGCGCTTGGTCGGCAGCGTCTCTCCCAACACGGCCCGCCAGGACGGCAAAGGAGACGGCCGAAGAAGCTCGAAGGCCGCCCTTTGATATGAGGAATGTCAGCAGCCCTTTTCCTCCGGTTTCCTCCAAATCAGAAGGGACCCAGAGCAAAGATGTGAGAAGCCACCGGTGCCAGAGGCAAGGTCACTACTCAACCCACTGAGGCCCCGGCAGCACAGCCTGGTGCCTGGCCTCAGGTCCTTTCTGGCTTATTGCAATTTATTTGCCCCTTAATGATCTGTCCCCATCCCAGGCCCGCTTGGGATCTCGCTGGCCCGCTCCTCACACACATCATCTTTGAGAGACCGTAGCGTGACAGAGGACGGCGGCCAGAGGTGGCCACCCCCAGAACCACCCTCAGCAGACGGCGGTGCGGGCAGGCCCCGCGGGGCCCCCGGCTGGGAGCGATGACGCGTGGTCCTTCTGGCTGGAAGAGCTGCGACTCTCAGGTCGGTCCCTGCTGGGGACGCCACCACCTCTCCCTGCTAACACAGACTTTTCGGCCCTCTTCCCGTGGCTTCCTACAGCTGCCCATCCCTGACGGTGCTTGCGCCCTTGGTGGGGGGGGGGCACGTCTGCGTGGACCAACCAGATCCTAGCACACGCATGGCAGAGCTTTGGGCAGCAAGCCTCCCACGCCAGAGGCCAGGAGGGTCGCCGCCAAAGCAGACTTTCCAACACCGGAGGGCGGGGGTGGTCCCTCCACAATTAAAACGCTGCCATGTGGCCTGGCAGTTCCACTCAAGAATTGAACACACTCGGACTAGGACGCTCCCAGCAGCACCCCTCGGGACAGCCAAAGCGATACCGTGTCCATCGCACGGAGGGATCCACGGTCCGAGCACCCAGCGGATACAACTCAGCCACCGCACGGGTGAGAGTGCAAAAGCAGCTGCCCGGTGGAAGGAATCGGGCACAGGAATCAGCCACGGAGGGCCACACGCTGTACAATCCATTAGGTGGAATGCCCAGCACCAGCAGATCCGGGGTTGGAAAGCAGACGAGGCACCCAGGGGCCAGAGCCGGGAGACAGCACCGACCACTAACGGACGTGAGCTTGATCGCGATGCACGTTGCACCGGTCGCTGAACTTGGGGCTTTGGAAAATCACCACGGATGCACCGTGTCCAGCACGCGCGGTCTCACAAGCCAAAATGTACCAGGTGCCCCTGTTTCTCCTAAGACCCAGTGGCGGGCTGCTCCGGGCAGAGGAGCTGCAGCCGCCCCCTCCATCACCTCCAGGCTAGGCCTCACCGCCGGGCTCCGGCTCACGCCCCCCTGCCTTGCGCTTGCTCAAGGGTATCAGCAGGTGAAGTCTTCCCCACTTAGGGATGCGAACCAAGAGACCTACCTAAGTGCCAGGCTGTAGGGAGGGGCACACAGCCGGGGCGGCCGACCAGAGCGAGGGAGCGCAACACCCCAGACCCCCAACCCCCCTCCACCTCACCCCATTTCACGAGGCGAAAGCTTTCCGACAGGTCACCTCTGGACAGACTCTCTCCTGTCCCGTGGGCAGGGACGGCTCCCTACACTGTCCTGTGATGAGGCTCTTGAATTCAGCAGAGCCACAGGGTCCTTGGAGAGTCATCTACCCTCCCGCCAGCACCACACCCCTCCGCTGATGAACATCACCGCGAGCTGGGACGCAAAGGGGCTTTCCAGCTGGTGGCAGGGTCAAAGTTTAGTGGAACAAGGGCTCAGCCACGGCACGCAGACAGATGGAAGCTCTAGTTACGTGCCACGGTAGGCCGTAGGCGTAAAGATCGTGGGGGACTCAGAGAAACTCAAACATGACGCCTGCTACAGCACCAGGACTCAGAGTGGCGGTGCTTACCGCCATTGTTACCAGCATCACTGACACCACTATCACCCTAGGGGTCACCATCACCACCACCATCATCACGGCCATCACCACTACCATCATCATCAGCATCATCACCATCATCATCACTACCATCACCACCACCACTATCATCATCATCACCACCACCACCACCACCACGATCATCTCCATTAGCATTACCACCATCACCACCATTATCATCACCGTCATCACCATCAGCATCACCGCCATCACCATCACTATGATCACCACCAACACCACCACTATCATCACCACCGTCATCACCACCACCATCATCATCACCACCACCATCATCATCACCACTATCAACATCACCACCACCACCACCACCACCACTGCCACTACCATCATCACCATCATCATCGTTACCACCACCATCACCATCGCTATCATCACCACCACCATCATCACCACCATCAGCATCACCACCATCACCACTACCACCACCATCATCATTATCACTATCATCACCACCATCGCTATCATCACCATCACCACCACCACCGTCATCACCATCATCATTATCACTATCACCACCTACATCACCACCATAACCATCACCACCATCACCACCACCATCACCATTATTAATATTGTGCTGGCATCAAGCAGACTTTCCCAGGAAATGCTCAGCTTTCACATACACTTTTCCTCTCTGTAAGAAGTAACTAGACCCAGAGCGGCCGAGCCACCGCTGTGAGCTGTCAGGACACACAGCACCTCCAGGAAGAGCCCCGGGGAACGCTATTCCCAACTTCCTACCACAATAACTGGGGGTTACTCTTACTACCAGTACACATTCTACAGAGTGAGGGATCCTACTCACCTCGGGATGCTGAGGTCCCTGCACCCAAGTATCTCCTACAGCGAGGATTGCATCTGAGATGCAAGACAGACCAGGTGGGGTCTTGCTGGAAGACACAGCATCTTGGACCTTGCCCACTCCTTTCCTGACTGAGCAAGACTCAAGATGACTCTGGTCAGACACGTGTCAATGGGGCCAAGCCTCAGACACAGACACACCCCACGTGCGGGGTGACGGCCGCCATGCTGGGCATGCCATGGCACCTTTCCGGCTTGCCGGCCCTTCCTGCTTGGCCACGTGTGGCCCAGCTCAGCTGAGCAGCCTTGGCCTCCCCATCGCGGCTTGGGATCTGGAACCCCTTCAAGGCACAGGTTTCCTGTATCCCCAAACCCAAGATGCTCCAGGACTCAAAACCAATTGGTTAGCTACCCTACTAGCACTCCCCCTGCACCTGGTGACTTCTTTATTTTCTGTTGCTGGCTAACCCAGCCTTTCCCAAATGAAAAGCACAAATACTGACATTTAAATTTTAAAATCACTTGGGTTCTGGAGTACCTGGGTGGCTCAGTCAGTTAAGCATCCAACCCTTGATTTCAGCCAGGTCATGATGTCAGGGTCCTGGGATCAAGCCCCACACGAGGCTCCATGCTCAGCATGGAGTCCTCCTGAGAGTCTCCTCTTTCCCTCTCCCTCTGGCCCTCTCCCCCTACAGCTGCTGGTGCTCACACTCTCTCCCCTTTTGCTCTCAAATAAACAAAATCTTTAAGAAAAAAAAAAATCAAATGGCTTCCAGCATTCTCTATACCTGCCAGGGAGGAGAGCTCCCTGCTGCCTCAACTTGACGCCTGAGAGCTACAGACACGGGCCTTCTTCGGATGGGATTTTTATCAAGACACGATGTCCCAGAACAAGAGGCAAAGCCTGCTCGTGGGCTGCTCCGAGCACCCCTCTCCACCGCCAAGCTCCTTCACGCCACACGTGGTACAAGTCTCAAGGCACGCTGCCTCTCCCTGCTCGGTGCTCTCCAAAGCAGGAGCCTCCCTCCGGAGGTGCACACCATGCTCCCCCCCCCCCGCCCCATCCCAAGGCCAGGAGCCACCCACTTGGCATCGGATCATCATGGCTCAGACCAGGACCAGGACAGACCTCCTATCAGAAGTGGGCAGGGTGTCTGGGTGCAGAGCAGGGACCTACTCCTTCTCTACTGTATGTAACGTGTGTGACCTTGGACGGGTCACTTCGTCTACTGACGCCCCCAAAAACTCAACCGTAAGACAGAAATCCATCCCTGCAGCCAAGGGGCCTGCGGGAGATGAAAGGGGTCCGGAGAGCACTGCTTGTCCACTACAGCCACCCCGGGCTCCCAGGCCCCAAGGCGGGGCAGGAAGGCCCTGCCCTGGTCCCCGCACCAGACACCCCAAGGACGAGTGCCCTGCAGACCCGGCCTCCTGAGTCAGCGCAGCCCCACCGCTGCGGGGGAGCATGGCCTCTGTGCTGAGGCCCCGCCAGGCCCTGATTCCCTAGTCCCTGACTCTCGGGAACCCACCCCTGCCCCCATGCTTACCCGCTGGAGTCTTCCACCCTCTGGGCCTGCTGCACTACCATCCGGAGCAGCCCCCACTCCCTGTGACGCCAGGCAGGTGTGCGGCTGCCAACCTGTCCCCACAAGGGGGGCCCAGGGACCCCCCACGCTCTCTGCTGCCCTGTCCCAGGCCCAGGGAGGAGCTTGGCGCCGCCCTGCAAGGCCCCGTCCCATAAGACAGGCATGGGAGGCGTGCACCCGTGGAACTCCACTCACCTGGCCGCAGAGAGCCTCTGCCCGGGACCTCGCCCGCGTCCTGCAGGCCGCCCGCCCGCAGCCCGCCTCCCACGCTGTTGGGAGGCACGGGGCCGTTGGCCTGGCCGCCCGGCATGTTCATGTGGGTGGGGATGGGCTCAAAAGTCGGGTCCAGCTCCAAGATGAGCCTGTTCAGCTGTTCGATGGACTGGTCGATGTCCAGGGTAGGCGAGCCTGGCGCCGGGTCTGCGCTGGGCTCCGGTCCGGTCCCATTCACGACTCTGTCTGGAAACCTGGGCTTGAGCGCTTTGCCGGGAGGGGGCCGCTGTGCGTCGGGGAGATGGGGAGTGGGGCCCACACCCCTCTGGAGGGCCACTCTGCTGCCGCTGCCCCGGGTGGGGGTGACGGGAACCCTGGGCTGGGCCTGGCCCAGGCCGGACCCGTCCTCCGGGCCGCGGCCTACGAGCCTGGCCTCCCCGTCGGGAGTGAAGCCATACTGGTGGGCGGCCACCATCTGCTGCTGGCGCACCCAGGTCTGCGTGGAGTAGCCGCTCTGCACGTAGGCCTGCGTCTGTGCGGACACGGAGGGTCTCCGGAGCACGGGCTGCGGCTGCTTGGCCTCCCGGGTTGCGAAAGGCCGCTCCCGCTCGTACACGGGGTCCACGCCTAGGCTCAGGTCAGGGGCAAGGCTGCCGTGCGCATCGTCTCCGGGGCTGCTGCCAAAGGCATCCGACAGGAGGGAGTGCTGGCTGCTCTGGTGGCCAGCGAAGGGGCCCAGGTGGGCCGACTGGTGTCCCTCCGAGGAGGACAGGGTCCCGATGCTGTCCACGCTGTGCAGGTCATGGCCCGGCATCTCGTCGTCCAGGATGTCCGTCTCCCGGTCCTTGAGCAAGGCGTCCCCATTCACGTGGACCTGGGCGGGCACGACGTGGCGTGTGCCGCTGTACTTGCCGGGGGCATCGGTCATGTCCTGGAGGGGGCTCCCGGGGTCGTCCAGGCCAAAGCCGCTGAGCAGCTGGTCCAGCTCCGCCTTCTCCTGGGGGCTCAGGCCCCGCCTGGGCCCTGCAGCCGGGTGCTCCTCCGTTCTGTCCGTCCTGACCGAGGCGCTGGAGTGGCCCGAGTCACTGCTGACCGACAGGGTGTGGTCGCCGTGCTCCGGGCTGCTGGTGGCCGGGCCGGGCCCGCTGGGGACGCCGGGGTCCGAGGCGCTCTTCTTCCTCACCTTGGCGTAGAGGCTGCCATCCACGGGGCCCTGCGTGTGCGACACTGGGGCAGACAACGGGAGACGGGTCAGTCTGGGCAGGGAAAGGGGACCCGGGGCCCCCGGGGACGCGAGCGTGGTGCACCTGCCGGGACACCTGCCGGGACACAGGGTCGAGTCACCGCGCCCGGGGTCACGCGCTCCTCCAGGCCCCCAGGGGCCTGCACACCCCGGCAGCGCCCGCCAGAAAGCGATTGGAACAGCCCAACAGCTCAGGCCGGGCCCTTTCTACCTTTTTGTGCAAAGAGACCCAAGACTTAGAGAATCTTCTGGAGTCTTTGCCTTGGGGGTCATCGTGCCCCGAGGCCTCAAAGTGAACTTCGTGGCGGGAGGGGGTGGGGGGGGCCGGGGCTCAGCGGGTGAGCCTCCGCCTGCAGCCCGGGCCGCGACCGCGACCCCGACCCGACCCGGGATCCAGTCCCGCACCGGCCCCCCGCAGGGAGCCTGTTCCTCCCTCCGCCTGAGTCCCTGCTACTCTCTGTGTCTCTCACGGATGAAAACAGAAAATCTTAAGAAAAAGAAGCTCGGCCCGTGGCCCGGACGCCGAGCAGCTAAGCTCCTAAACCCCCGGGACCTGAGAAGCAGAGAAGCGGACGTGGGGACGATGGGGCGGGCGGTGCACGGGCCTGGCGGGGGCGACGCGGAGATCGGAGCAAGGGCAGCGGGGGCGGGACAGGGGCGGGGCTAGGGGCGGGGGCGGGGCTAGGGCGGGGCTAGGGGCGGGGCACGGAGATCGGCGCGCAGGCGGCGGGGGCGGGGGGCGGGGCACAGAGATCGGCGCGCGGGCGACGGGGGCGGGGCTGGGGCGGGGCTAGGGCAGGGCGGGGGGCGGGGCTAGGGCAGGGCGGAGGGCGGGGCTGGGGGGGTAGGGGACGCGGCTAGGGGGCGGGGCGCGGAGATCAGCGCGCGGGCGGCGGGGGTGGGGCAGGGGGCGGGGCAGGGAGATCGGTGCCCGGGAGGCGGGGGCGGGGCTAGGGCGGCAGGGGCGGAGCCCGGCGCGCGGGAGGGGCGGGGCTGGGCGGGGCGACGGAGCGGAGGCGGAGCACGCTGCGCGGGAGGCGGGGCTGGAGCGGGGGGGGCGGGGGGCGAGGGGCGGGGCGGGGTGTGCGGGGGCGGTGCTGGGGCGGGGTCGCGCTTGGCCGGGGCTGGGCCGAGGGGCGGGTTTGCACCGGGCTGGGGGCGCGGGCGGGGTCGCTCGGGGCTGCGGTGCTGCAAGGGGCGCGGGGGGGGGGGGGGGGCGGACGCGGGACACTGGAGAGGCAGCAGGGCACCGGCCGTCACAGGGCTATCCCCGGAGGGGGGGAGAGGGGCAGAAACCCGTGTCCGGGCTTCCCGCGGGCGCAGCGTCCTCCCCAGAAGGTCCCACTGAGGCACCGCGGGCCCCAGGGCGCTAGGGGGATGATGGCGGGGAAACACTGGGGGGGCCCCTCTGCTGCTCCAAGTTAGCACCCGGGCCTCCACCTGCGGGGGGTGCCCTCTGCTGCTGCTCCCAGTTAGCACCCGGGCCTCCACCTGCTGGGGGTGGGTCCTCTGCTGCTGCTCCGAGTTAGCACCCGGGCCTCCACCTGCTGGGGGGGGGGCCCTCTGCTGCTGCTCCAAGTTAGCACCCGGGCCTCCACCTGCGGGGGGGGAGGGGTCCTCTGCTGCTGCTCCGAGTTAGCACCCGGGCCTCCACCTGCTGGGGGGGGGGGGCCCTCTGCTGCTGCTCCCAGTTAGCACCCGGGCCTCCACCTGCGGGGAGGGGGTCCTCTGCTGCTGCTCCGAGTTAGCACCCGGGCCTCCACCTGCGGGGGGGGGGGCCCTCTGCTGCTGCTCCCAGTTAGCACCCGGGCCTCCACCTGCGGGGGGGGGGGGGGGGGGCCTCTGCTGCTGCTCCAAGTTAGCACCCGGGCCTCCACCTGCGAGGGGGGGGGGCCTCTGCTGCTGCTCCCAGTTAGCACCCGGGCCTCCACCTGCGGGGAGGGGGTCCTCTGCTGCTGCTCCGAGTTAGCACCCGGGCCTCCACCTGCTGTGGGGGGGGCCCTCTGCTGCTGCTCCCAGTTAGCACCGGGGCCTCCACCTGCTGGGGGGGGGGCCCTCTGCTGCTGCTCCCAGTTAGCACCCGTGCCTCCACCTGCTGCGGGGGGGGCCCTCTGCTGCTGCTCCCAGTTAGCACCCGGGCCTCCACCTGCTGTGGGGGGGGGCCCTCTGCTGCTGCTCCCAGTTAGCACCGGGGCCTCCACCTGCTGGGGGGGGGGCCCTCTGCTGCTGCTCCCAGTTAGCACCCGCGCCTCCACCTGCTGCGGGGGGCGGGGGGGGGGGTGGCTGAGAAGGGAGTGCCTGGGTCGCAGGAAGTGCTTTCCTGGTAACATGGCAGGCTGAGTGCCCCACAGGTGGCCCAGGGCCATGCCTGCTCCTTGGGCCCCTGGGAGCCACCTTCCAGCGTCCACAGGGCCCTGAACTCACCCCGACCTCGCACTCCTGGCCCAGCGAGGTGGGCGCACTGGCACAGTCGGCGGCTCCCCACGGTTCTGGAAATGCTGGGTCGAGGTCACACGACCCAGACTTGTAGGGTCCAGGGGTCTTTTCTGGACCGCACGGGTGACCCCTGGCTAATTTCAGACGTGTCCAAGAGAAGAAGGACAAAGGCCATGGGGGACGGCACTCGTCGGGGTATCATGTGCGACCGCATGGCCGACGCCTAGAGCAGAGCCGACTTGGGGGACGCGAGATACTGTAAGTGCACCAGGTGTTCGCAGCAGACAACTGGTCGTGAGAGCGCCAGGGCAGGTGCTGCCCTCGGGCGGGGCCACCAGGGTGGCGGGCCAGGCGCCACTGCGGAGGCCAGGCCCGGCACGCTCTCCTTATCACAGCGCAGCCTGCGTAGCGGACAAACCTGTTCCTTCCTCAAATGTAAAGAGCTGAACCGGGCCAAGGTCAGTCACCTGCTGGGAGGTGGAGGCAGGACCAGAAGCCAGGCCTGCTGCACCCCGGGTGGCAGTGCCAAGGCTGCTCTCTGTGAGCTGTGCCGGAGGACACTGGAGAGACCCCGAATGCCAGGGTTCAGAGAGGAAGAAACATGCATTCAACTTGGCATCCAGGGGGACCCCGGTGCCAGGACGCTTCCGCCTCCCTGAGCCCCACCGAGCACGCGCCTTCCCTCCATCTGCAGACCGTGAGGCCGGAGGCAGCCCTCGTCCTGTGCGAATCACAGATGCCACCACGCTGGTGACCAAGGGGTCGGAGCAACCCAGGCCAGCAGGCGTCTGGCCGGAGCACCTGCGAATTCTAGAAGCACCTCTCGTGCTGCCAGAGCCGTGCATCCATGGCTTGCAGATCCTTCTCCTTAAATCTCGGTTACACGCGTGCCCAGCTTTGCACGGCAGCAGTACCGTAGCCAGCGAGGCTTATCCGAGCCGCAGTTACTGTGAATCGGAAACTTCTCAACTAAACACGTGCCCGCGATGACTTTAAGGAAAAAAAAGGAAGCCAGGAACGAGCGGTACGGAAGTTCTAACTTAAAATGGGACACTGGGCAGATGTGCCCATGAACCGTCCTGCGTTACAGCCCCTCGGCCGGCCCCAGGCTAGGAACGGTCCAGGAGGTCCCCTTGCCTGGGGGATCACGGGCAGCCCCATGGAGTCTTTATTAGCAGGAGCCGTCTCGGGGTAGTAGCGACCGTGTTCACCCGCACGGGTACCACGGAGCCAACGCTGGCTCTGCACGAGGCCCGGCACTCGGGACGCGGCTCCTTGGCCCCCCCGGGGAGGCGGGTGGCTCAGGGGCCTTCCCCCTGCAGTTCAGACTAGGGTCACACACACATGCCACCTCACGTCTGGCCTGACCTTCACGGGACGCACGTCTCATCTCCAGGAAAGGGCCAGGGTCCAGGGCAGTGAGGCCCCGAGACCGGGCTGCCCAAGCCTGGGGATCACTTGCAGGAGCTCGGATCTTCCCCAAGGCCAGGGCCATGCCCACAGATGCACCCGCTTGGGATCCTGGGTTGGGGGTTCGGCCACGGGGGGAGGGAAGGGGGAGGGGCCTCTGGCCCCCTCAGTTCCCACCCTGTGCTCCGGCAAGGGCTTCCGCTGCTTCTCCAGGAAGGAGCTGGGCTGGTTTTTCAGTGGGAGGAACGGGGACGCCCGGGTCCCCCTACAGCCTTGCGATGGGATATTCCCCCCCCCCCGCCTTTAGGCCGTGTGTGTGCAGCTCACACTGAGGCCCTCTCGGCCCCCCACTCCTCACTGGGGAAGCGGTGATGGTCCCCATCTTCTAGCGTGGTTACGCACTAGCACAGGCGTCCAGGAGGCCACGATCACTGGGTAGAGCGGTGTCCCCAGTGGACGGGTGGACGGAGCCCAGCTCTCCCTCTGGGCCTCATTTCCTGTCTGCCCCGTGCTGCTCCCGGGCCACAGCAGGCACCCAGCTGTCCCTGCCCCAGGGCCTTTGCATGTGCTGTTCTTTGTCTCTGGGCTTAGAAGCCCTGCCCTGAACCCAGGCCCCTGTGGGGTGGGTGTAGGGGCAAGGATGGAGAATTCTGGAAGGTGCAGCCGGGGGCTTCCTCTGCCCTATTTTTGTATCCTTTGCCCTATTTTTGTTTTGACTGTGTGTTTCCAGCTCAAAGGACTTTGGCCAGATCCTTGTTCTGCCCGCGAAGACCCTGATCCCAGGAGGGGGTGGCAGGGACCCGGGAACACGGGATGAGGGCCTCCACTGGCCCAGCCCCAGCCAGGCGCCACCCTGCCCAAGCCAGTCCTTCTGCAGGTCACCCCTCCCTCCTCGCCGCCTCCACCCCTCCAGCCAGAACCCAGGGCTCCTTTCACGAGGAGGCCAGGGAGTAGCCTGGTAATGATTTCCCCGCAGCCCGGGCCGAGTTAAAAATCAAACAAACATAAATAGGGCTCTGATTAGGGCCGCATGACACAGCAGGGCGGCTTATCGTGTGGAAAAGAACCAGAAGCAGGAAAACACAGAACGAGCCTCCCAGCCTCACGGGGCAGCGCCCGGCCGCCCTGCCCGCCCCCA